AAACTGAATTACAGTGTAAAGCTGCCTGTCTCATGTGCTGTAATTCCCCATTGCAGACTACAGTAGTGCTGCTGAAGGTAGTGGTGAAAGCCAGTGCACTCAAAATAGTTTCCTTAAATCGTCAGGTCTAATGCTAGTGCCAGTTTAAGGGACACTCAGCTTTCTGCTAAAGTCAGTTGATTGTGGAAGGAACTGCTGTGGAAAAGAGGGAGCTTTGTTTTATTCCTTTAGCTCATGTTCTGACTGGGTCTTGAAAATCAGATCCCTATTGCATGTTAGACAGCTATACAGACTTGCTGTTTTTCTGAAATCCAGTCTTGAAAATGGCTAGTAGCCATTTTAATCCATTTTAATCTCTTTACAGACCTCTACTGGTTCATCATGACAGCGAGTGCAAATGAGTCATTTTATCGATGACATGCTTACCTTTATTCTGTAAAGAACCTCAGTACTTTGTAACACTAAGATATTCTTGATATCTTAGTGTTCCTGTCAACAGTTTCACTGGCTGCACAGATTGTATCAGTAGAGTGAAAAAATGTTAAGCTTTCAACTGAAGTCTTGCTTTGGCTGATAAACATTAAATCACATCTCTGCAGCTGAGGGCAGTGCATAGCCTCCTTATCCAGGGTACATGTCCAGAGTTACCTTCTGGCAGTAACTGAAGCAAGAGCTGTCACTCACACTGTTACATCTACAAAGTTCCAAGTCAGACTGAGATTAACAGCTGCCAAAACATGATTTTTGTCTCAGGAGCCAGAGGTCTGCCATGCATATGCTCAGCATTAAGTAACGCGAGAGGGACTTCAATTTTTAATATCACCACTTTTCCTCACAGGAGCTGACCTTGTTCTACTTGAAAGCCTCAGCAGCCAGGCCAGGAGAGCTGCTGAGACAAGTCGTGCCCTTGCAGATTCTAGCTGCCACTCACCACTGTTTTTGTACAGGTTTTCCTGGACCAGCTGCTACTTGCTGCAGTGACAGTAGCTGAGCTGGGCTCTTCTCTCACATTGATTTGTTTGTATTTGCAGAGATACAAGGCAGCAAGGCACCGTACCACAGCTGCCTACCCCGAGGCTCCTTTGCATTCCCAGGGCTCCAGCTCCCAATTGCTGGATGATCCAAAACATCCTCCTGCTACAACAGCAGATAGCAGCAAGAAGATGATTGATGATCATGGGATAGAGAAGGAGGGCGCAAAGCTGGCAGCCCTGCAAGAACAAGCTTTGAGGTCTCTGGAGGGTAAGGGTGAGCTGGCCACCTCTGTAGCAGAGGGCAAAAGCCTAGCCAGCGTGACTGACGATGTATGTGGAATCATGGTTGTAGAAGAAGAAAATCTACAGGAAGAAAGCAAGTCCACTACCACTAGTGCCGACTGCCTGCTCCCTGAAGAGAACCGCACCACAGGGGAGTTGTTGGGACACGCTGTGTCTAAGGAGGAGGAAGCCAATGCAGCCAGGCAAAGGGAAGGCACAGATTACTACCAGGATTCAGGGAATGGAGGGGGTTTAGGACAGAATGAGGCAGCAAACATAGGCCAGGAGGTAGAGGCAGAGCCTTCCTCCCTAGCCAAAGGTGAGACAGCCAGTCTTACCTCTGCTGGGTGCAGACGCTCCTCTAGGCGCAAACCCAGATAGAGTGGCCTTAAAGGGAGAGCCCTTTACATATGATATTTGCTGGAAATGTTTATTTTCTGAGTCTTTTAATAGAGCAAAAACCTTCAACTTTACTGCTGTTTTTATTTTAAGAATAAAATAAGCCTGGCTTTAGCGTGTCTAAAACAGTATGGTGTTGGTTATTACTGGTACAGTTGGGATACAGCAATTGTGTGGAAAGACTGAGGCTTGGATTGTTGAACTTGAAAGAAGACAGTAACGTGACTTTCATAGGGACAAAGTTCATGAAGCAGATGAATGCAGGCTTATTTTTAACTCAGAATTCTTTGTAATTCCTCGCTTGTTTCCTTTCCAGGCAGAGGAAAGGTTTATCTCTTGGGAGACTGTATGCCCAATTCTGCTCCTCAGAACAGTTTTCTTTCAAAGATGCACACTCTTGGACAAGGACTGTGTCCTATGCTAGGCAAGAAATGTGCATCTTGGTCCCTTGCTAACACCACGAGGCTTAACACAGTCTGTTCTCATAGTGGAGACTCTCAGGAACAAATTTTATTTCAAACTGATTTGAATAAAACAGATTTCTTATAAATAACTTCTTTAACTTTCCAAAAAACTCCTTTAACTCTACAGCATACAGTAAGACCTGCTTCCCAGTGCTAGCCCCAGGCCATCCTGACAAGATCACAAAGTTTTGGGCCAGACTACTCATGCATACTCTTGTCAAAATGTACAGCCCATGGCAGGCAGGCCCCCGTCTCTTTGCTCTGTATAGGTAATGCTGTGGTGGGGGCTAATCAGGCGGCTCTCCCTCTCTCTAAAGCCCGAGGCCTTAATGGCAGCTTAAGGAGTTAGGCAGCTTCCAATGCTAACAGTCAAAAACATCACTCTGGTAGCTTGTCTTATCTGCTTGGAAGGGGACAGGAGTGTCCAGTGATCTGGGACCATCTGCCAGTATTTCTTACAACGAATAATGGGGAAGCTGTAGTTTCAAGGCAGGAGCTGGCCTAGGGCCCCCGTCTCCACATCTGGCACCAGAGTCACACTCACAGGCAAACCTGGAGACAGGACAGCCCCTGCTTACTGTGCTTTTTGAGGGAAGAGGCTAGAGCTGTAAGACTCCTTGCTTGGACTTAACAGTATAAATGAGCAGAGGTCATTTTTCCTTTATGTGAAGAGGGCCTGCTTGCAAACAACCTGCATGGCATCAGGCTTCCTCCAACCAACTCTAACCAAGTGTCAGTGCCAGGCTCGTGGTGGGCAGCAAAAAGAACCAACTTCCCTACATCCACCAGTGTGCTCTGCACCCATCACACAGCTAAAGGAAAACAGAACATGGAGGTGAACAGTGGGACACAACCACAGGAAGGAAGGAACAAGTAACAGTCATGAGGTACCTCCTCTATTCAAGTTTTATGTCAAATTGGTGACCAGTGAGTGTCCCCTTAGCAATACCAACTGAGTGTTTGTGGCCAGCACACTAGACTGGAGGCTGTGGTCCCTGCACATCAGTTTCCATGTCCTGCTGCTGGCTCTGCTGCTGCTGCTGCTGCTGGAACTCCAGGCGGGTCTGGCGGTTGGACTCCAGCAGTTCTTTCAAGCAGGCGTGCAGATAATCATTCTTCTCCTCCAGGTGATCCAAGCAGGAGTTGATCTGGTCCAGCATGGAGTTTATTGCTGCATATTCTAAAAGGAAGGGAAATGAGAGACTGAACAATGTAAGTATATTGTTACTGCAGTAAATGAAGACAGCGAGAGCTCTTGCAAAACATACCCATGGCATTTTGGCTGTACCTTAGCTGCCACTGGGTGCATGAAGTAAAATGCAACTGAATCCTGCATGTGTTGCATTCACCAATCAAACGAGACCAATGAGAAACAGGAGGACTGGTAACAAGGTCTAAGGCAAGTTACCTGGGCAGCCCAAACATGTTATGGGCATATCTGACAGCCTTTGATCTCATACGTAAACAGCTGGCCACAGGACGAATGCTAGTGCGCAGTGATCTGCATTGCAACAGTACCAAATAAACCCCAAGGACAAGTCAGCCTTTCTGGCTGCCTCGGGGATCATCTTTCCTGAGAAGGGTGCAGGCATCCTGGCAGTGTGCCGAAGCGTTTACATTCTGTGAATTACTTGCATAAGGCTCCCAGGCTGGGATGTGCTTTGCAAGGGCCTGGCTGGGGTCAGAGTGCTAAAACAGCACAGCCATTGCTGCGGCGGGAGCAAGGATGAGCCCAAAGGTGCTGGTAGTGGCACTGTTATTTCCAAAGGCAGGTACGTGTGGGGCACCAAGTCCTACCGCAGGATTTTCAAGCACCATTAAGGCTTTGGGTGCTTCAGATTAAAATCAGACTCATTTGGGATGATCCTGACGGCTGCTTCTCTAGGTACAGGCTTTTTTACTTATAGCATTTGTTTCAAGTGCAGAAGTGTCGGCCTCAGCGCATTTCACAGTGAAGTGTATTAGCACTGTTAATCAGGTGAAGATGGCTGTGCTACTGTGATGACACACTTGCTTTTGGATTGCTTCAAGCAGTAGTCACAGAATCCTAAAGAATAACAAAAAAACCCCAAAACTCAAAAAAACCCAACAACCAAACCTGAAAAAATAGACAAGATAAACCTCTGCTGACAAGTTACTGAGAAACCCCAGGGGGGTTACAGGAGATCCCAGGTGGAGCCAGTTCCATTTTTCCTTTCTAAAGCTGCACAGGCAGAGCAAGTGCAGGGATGCAGGCATCGAGCTGTGATCTGTGAGTTCATGAGGATCGTGAGCCGTTCACAGAAGTGTTGCAGCCCTTAATTCTTTGGAGAACCGCGTCTGTCACATTTAATCTTGTTCAAGTCCAAGTCTGGCCTTGCAGGTATATGTGGAGGCGGCACTGTGAGCAAGAGCACTGCTGATGTCCTTGCAGTTAAAAAACAATCCCACACGTTCTTTCCAAAAAGGCATCAATTTCCAGTATTTTGCAAACCCTGTTTCAAGGTCTGTGATACTGGAGTTAGAGGTCTTCACTTCAACCTAGCATTTGATGCACCGCATTCCAACTAAATGGTGAGCAGTTCCCAAGTCAATCGATAACTACTTCTGACAGGTAACATTATTCATCACCTTGGCATGAAGTCTGTAATCACAGCACAAGCCGAATTGTTCTCAGTGCCTAGAGCTCGAGCGAAGGCTATGTAAGTTGTGCAGCTTTGGGAAGTAAAAAAAATACGCATTTTTAAAATCTGTAAAAATATTTTCTTTTCTTGTCTTCTGTTAGTTGCAAGCTTGGTGTATTTTTGTGGCAATGTACCCACATCCCCTAATGAAAATGTTCATCAAGAGTACAGCAATTGCATTGTTTACTCCTCTGCCTTCTTACAAGAACAGCTGCGAAAAATAAGGTTTCCTATTTGAGATCAAGGAAGTGATCCACACCTTCAGGATCCTTCACACAAGACCAGGAAATAGCCACAGATCTTTATGACCAGCTACTGCACACAAAGCCCCCGCTAATTACAAGCAATAATAACAACTTAATGCCTAGACTCAATGGAGATCAGATTTAGTGACTTTCTCTGTCAATTAATGTGTCTCTTAGCTCTTCAAAAAGTTTGAAACACAAATCTCTGTGATGATGCAAAGCAGTGACTACTCCTGGAGTTTCAGGGCAGAAATTATTCTCCACAGTTGAAAGATTCACCTCCGTGGGTCACATCTGGAAACTGAATGATCCTCTGGGAAAGAGCATAACGCAGCTCTTCACCATTTTCAAGGGAACAGTAGCAAAGTGCTCACTCTTCGAAAGATGTCCGGTTTTATGAGTGACCTGTACATACGCATTACAGCTCTGCCACTGTCTCACTTTCTCTGCCTGCTTTTTCTAACTGGACAGGACAGTATATGAAATGTCATACTTAGGCACTGTAAAAATGCCCACAAGTGGTATTTGCCAAGCTAACTGCATTAAATTCACTTTTTCCACCCGCGGTTTCTCCCGGATCTGCTCACGTGATCCATCCTGCGGTTTCAAAACCTGAATATCCTCTTTCTCCCCTGACACCAGCAACAGCATAGAATGCTCTTTCCACAAGACAAATTAAATAAAATACCCCTGAGGCAGCAACGTGTGGGAGCTCAGCGCTCAGAATCACGGCCCAAAACCCGCTGGTCCCGCAGCCCCTCACACCCCTCACCTCTGGCGTCGGGCCCTGCTCCCAGCAGCAAAACCCCTGGAAACGCCTGGGCCTCGACCCCGTGGGCCCTGGCCAGGCCGCCCAGC